TATCATATAATTTAATAGTAATTTATTAATTAGTTTAATTTAATATTAACCTCAGCTAAAGAGACTGGTGGTCTATTTTTGGTTTAATTTTGGAGACCACCACTCAGAGATCATTCTCAGGGTGCACTCACTTTATGCTGTGCTAACCATGCCCAAGTACGTTTCCCGGTTTGTTAAAGAAGTCTGAGTGCTCTGAATCGGTGCAGTTCATTTGGCCGGCCCTGGCCAGGTTGAAAGAGGGATGCCAGAGCATGGTTCGGTTGGGCTTTGGCGCGGTACGCTTGTAGTGTGAGTGCAAAGTGCACATGAGCCTGAAACTGAAGATGAGATGTGACTTTTACGAGACTGTTTCATATGGATCATTAATCAGTCTTACTGGTCAATGAACTGTCATAGTTTATTAAAGACACAAATCCTCTCTGCACATCAGCTGCAGCTTCAGCAAACCTCCTAATACCTGCAGCAAGAAGACTTTATGATTATTTATGAGCGTCAAAAGTGACTGTTCTGCGAATTATTATCACTACATATCAAACCACTAAAATGATATAACTTAAGAAATCCCCACTGTTCTAGGTGAAAGCGCTTTTCTTCTGTTAAACTGAACAGCGCATCATCGATGACGTAAGCTTGCTCGAGCTCAGATGCAATGTGAGTGCAGGCCGCCGGGGCGGAGGGGAGGGGGGACAAGTGTGCTTCGCCAAGCTTCAAGGCAATAGTGTGAGCACGCCCTCAATGTTCAGTTGTGGCCTGTATTTATTTTTTGATTGCTATAAAAAGGTCATAAAGTAAACCTGGTGTTATAAAATCAATCTGCTGCAGCTGACGCTATCGCTGTGTTGTTAATCTAACGTAAACACACCAATCCTCTGAAAAAAAAAAATATAGAAAGACTGATGGCTTTTGATTTGCATGTTGTTGTTTTATATTACCTTTTAACTAATATATATATTTTTTTCTGTTGGTTATGGATAAAATATGGTAACTCTTAGAGTTTAATCAAATTTATTTGACTTTTGGAAATCACCAAGCAACCCCCGTCATTGACGCCCTCTTTGGGAACCACTGCTATAGATAACTGTTAAATTATAAATACTGTACCACCAAAACAAACGATCCAAAATCACAGACCCAGACATTTGCTGTACAGTTCGGCGGCTGGCCTAACAGCTGGCCTGTGTTAAAAAAAACAAAAATCAATATTCTCTAATGATAATACTATTCATACGTCTCACTGGCCATCATAAAACCACCTGTCATGGTTGCAGAGGGACACATAGGCTGCTTTTAGCTGAAAGATCAGATGTGTTGTGCATAATTTAGCAGAGAAGCGAACAGGTTAATTGTTTGTGAGCTGTTTCCTGTGGCAAAGCTGTTTCATTAAATTCTGTGGTATCCTTTCAACATAAATAGGATGTAAGGGCTGAAAATGATGACTGAAAAAAAAGCACGACAGAGAATATGTTTAGTGTGCAAATAAGGATGTGGGCTACTTCCTAACATGTATTAGATCAAATGTCAGCTTACAATGTGTCATATTTATACAAAATATGAAGTGGTTTAAATCTAACACAGCTTGTTGTCTGTAGCTAGTGTTACTAGTTTGTTTAAATTGGTTAGTCACTTGAGTTAGCTTTTCTTTAGAGTAGTTGGTAGTTTAGCTAGCTGTGTGTTTTAGTTTAACTCAGCCTGCTAATTGGCTCTAATGAAAAATGTTTAAAAACAGTAAAGGTTTCCTTAATACAAAGTTGAATGGCACTTTATTTTATAATAGGCCTACATGTTGACATGCACTTACAATGTACTTAACTAGTAAATACTAGGGTATAAGCCCACATAGCAAAATTTCTCAGCTTTTGCTTGGTCCACATGCCACAGTAATTTATGGTACATGACTGGATCAAGCCTGGCTTCCAGACTACCCCATGTTTGGTCATTGTCTGGAAGCAAGACTTGGTGTGTCACGACTGCAGTGAAATTGATGAACCCATGGAGCATTATGCTTTGTGCATTAATAATGGTAATGGTTAGGATGATTAGTACAATTTGTAAAATGATAATTTGCTTAATAAAATATATGCATTGTAGGTTAAATTCTAATATTTTGCAACATACAGGGAAATAAATAGATTAATTAATCCAAATTATTTAATCTTGATTGTTTCCTGGATTATAAAGGCATACAATACAAAGAGCAAGATGGAAATGACATTGTGTATTAAACAATTTTTTTGCTCAAAAACATGCTGATGTATTTTAAATGTGGGTCACGAAACTTACGTGGGCCACATATTAAATTCTAACATCTGGGCCAAATAGCTTACTACATTTGACATGTGGCCCATGTCGTGTGCAGGGGCAGATTTAACCTATAAGCGAGGTTAGCGGCTGCTTAGGGATAATTATTAGCCCCTCTGTTTATTTTTTCCCCACTTTCTTTTTAATGGAGAGAAGTTTTTTTAACACATTTCTAAACATAATAGTTTTAATAACTAATTTCTAATAACTGATTTATTTTATCTTTGCCATGATGACAGTAAATAATATTTGACTAGACATTTTTCAAGACACTTTTATACAGCTTAAAGTGACATTTAAAGGCTTAACTAGGTTAATTAGGTTAACTAGGCAGGTTAGAGTAATTAGGCAAGTTATTGTATATGGTGGTTTGTTCTGTAAACTATAGAAAACAAAAATAGCTTAAAGGGGCTAATCATTTTGATCTTAAAATGGTGTTTAAAAAATTAAAAACTGCTTTTATTCTAGCCAAAATAAAACAAATAAGACTTTCTCCAGTAGAAAAAAACATTATCAGACACACTGTGAGCATTTCCTGAATCTTTTCAACATCATTTGGGAAATATTTAAAAAAGACTATATATATATATATATATATATATATATATATATATATATATATATATATATATATATATATATATATATATTAGGGATGTAACGGTATCAGAATTTCACGGTACGGTAATACCTCGGTATGAATGTCACGGTACGGTATTTATTGAATCATTTACAGGAAAAAACAAAACTTATGAAAATACTCCAAAAAAGTGCCAAAAGTGTCAATGACATACAAATTAGCCATCTATCTGTAAGCTTTGAAACAGGAACTTCAATTTTAATAACAAAAAATTATTAAACCATGTAAAAACAATAAAGTTTCAATTTAGTATTGTTGAAAACTCATCACATTCAACATTTAATCACACTCAGCCCATCTACACAGATGAGAGCTCTGCTAGTCGGACTTCTCATCAAGCATCTCCCGCTGGATCTAATCTCACTATATTTATTAAACGGGATATTTCATTTATCTTGTTGTCTTTATCTAACGACATATTCCCTGACTTTGGTCATTGGAATCTATAACTTGTTCTCAGGTAACGTGTTTTGGCTGAGTGCAAAGATAAGTTAATGATTAATGTAACCACGTAGCCTATTCTGTATATTGACTGATCGCTTGCCTTTATTTCCTATAATGTATAAACTTATTGTATGTTATACTTTTAAAATGGCCATTATCGATTATTAAAACTGATATTCAGCAAAAGAGAGGCTGTGTTTCGTATTTTCACTGAAATTGAAAGGAGGCAGTTGTTATCGGCTCCGTTTTGTTATAAATATCCACACAGTGAAGATGACGCTCATCTTATGCAGCACGACGCCTCAACATGTCTGTTGTCTAAGTTGCTAATATTAAAATGAAAATAGGCAGTTCCTTAAATCATGTTTACATTTTATTGTTGATAAAGTGAAACAACGAAGCCAGGGTGATGTGAATGAAGTTATAAAGTACACTGTTCCCTTTGAAGATTTACCCGTGTCCTCGGTATAGTCTGCTTTTCCATATCAAACTGAGAAGAAGAGACTGCAGCCTTGATCAAACTTGCGAAGTCTGAACTTACAAGTAGAGGATGCAGGACTGAACTGTGCGTGTTAGGCTACTTAATATTCAGGAAAAGCCCCAATCAGAGAGGCGAACGTCTGCAGCCCCGCCTCCGTTTTCAGATGTCTCAGTTTTCCATTATCCACACTGAGACATTATCCACACATTTCGAAACGCTCCGTTTTCGGCGCTCGAGAGCTCTTTTCATCCCCGCTTCTAGCAGCACACTCCATTTCCGCATTACTGGATCTGTAGCGACAACAGACCGCAAGGGATGATGGTCAAGCATGGGCTGATGGGTATTGTAGTTTTTGCTACCTCCCGTTCGCTTCATTCGCCTAAGCAAATTTTCTCAGAAGACCTATAGTTTTACCGAGTCATGCGACTTCGGTAATATCGAAAAAAATTTATATTGCGGTATGACGGTATTTACAATACCGTTACATCCCTAATATATATATATATATATATATATATATATATATATATATATATATATATATATATATATATATATATATATATATATATAGTAAAGTCGGGAGTCTAATAAATAAAAGTGTATCATAACTATGATACTATGATGTCTGCCAAACTATTTACTTAATATATTTGGTTGGAAGATATTTAAAAAAAAAAGATTGAGTTAAATAAGAAAAACAAATAAATAAGTACAAGGGTGTTTATAAGGACTTTTGGGCGCCATGGCTGGAATTGCTTAGGGCTCCAAAATCACTAAATCTGCCCCTGCATGTGTGCCACCTCTGCCGAACCCGACCCATGTTTGGCCCACATGTTGTATGCCAGTGCCAAATGCCTGGTTTGCCAGCTGCCAAATCTGGGACAAAATTCTTTGCAACCTGGTACATAACTTGAATTAAGTTTATTTAGCCAGGGATAAGTGTAGTTTTTGCCCAGATTAAGTGTGGAAAACAGCTAAAATTAATTTGACGTAGGCTACTACAATACAGTATAGTCTAATAGAGGGAAAAAACGAACTATACAACAAAATGTTATCTAACTGTTAGAAAATCAGTAATGTCAGAACAGACCCTCTTGTATGTCATAACCTTCTGCGAGAGTTTTTCTTGGGGGGAGAGATAGGGAGATATGTGTGTCTGTGTGTGTGATAGATAAAAAGAGAGACATGCTGCGGGCTGATTTGTAGGCTACACTTCTAAAGAAACTCCAGCTCGTATGACCCAAGAAGCTCGCATCACGTTATAGTTAGATCCGTGCGCGGCTTTGCTCGAGCTGGCAACACGGAGGCTTTTATCCTGATTAAGTAACGGCAGGACAAAAGAGCGATGGGCGGCCATACAGCACCTTACTGCCGGCATTTGAGCAAGGAGTCAAGGGTAATGTAACGATAAAGGGACCGGACACCGGCTGGCTGTTTATTTAGAAGTGTCGTCGAGCAGAAAGGAAACCTCTCCTTCCCGGAACAGAGCTTGTGCCGGATCACACAGACCGCAATGCGAATGTCAAGCGAAGAGCAGCTTAAACCAGCACAACTGCACTTAACATGGGCGAAAATAAGAGGAATCCGCCGCCACACAGACAGCTGAATCATGAGAAATGCTCTCTGTTCCTGTTCTGAGGTAAAACGCGCTGTGACAGTGCGATCTGGCTGTTTTCGAGTCGGTCTACTAATCTACAGCATTGCATCTTCATATGAGACCGCGCACGCGAAAATCTGACCGATGAATTATGCACGGCGGCGCATGAATAATAAACCGAGGGGTGACGCTGAGTTTCAGAGACCGGCCGGTGCGCGACTGTGTCCCACATGACCTACTTTCTACAGCTTTAATGCAGGAGAGATGCAGCCGTAGCGAAAGACCTTCAGCACTTCAGCAAAACAAGCACTCTGTTTGCTCACATGTGTGACCGTAGTCGTGTGGACCTCAGGTGACATGATCGTCACGTCAGATCTATAACCTGGAAGACTTAAAGATTGGTCATTGTTTTATTGTTTAAAACGAATCTACCACGACGACAACTTTCAAGGTTTGATTTAAAGAAAAGGGGACAGTGGAGCCATTTGACCTCTGCACTTAAAAAACATACTGGATTATTTATTTCTGCTGAAATTCAGCTGCTGATTTTTGGGATTAAAATTGAGCCATGGGATTTGCCTTTGCCATCTGAAATCTGCACATGAACTCCATAAAGGATTATTAACTGTGACTCTGTGATGTCACAGTTTGCTACTCAAGCGTTCTTCAAGCAATAATAATGACTACCTACAGCATTGTTGTGCTGAATATAGATGTCATCAGTTTGATGAATCAAAGTCAACAATGATTCTAAGCTCAGGAGATCTTTTTTATTGTTAATCAGTGAATTTATTTTTCGGTCAATCATGTGGTCACTGCCATTAGTACGTCACACTGACGTTCCAGTGAGAGTGACTGAGAGCTTTATTCTGTCTGGTTATCGCTTCCCCAACTACAGCCTACGGCAGTGCCTAGCATCTGCTTTTCGTCCCACCAATGAGACTGGGAACTTCTGGACGCACTTCCTCCCCATCTTTGTGTTCGCCTTCCACTTTATGGAAGTGTTCACATGGGAGAAAGTGCCAGAACCTAGCGATCCTTTTTTCTACCCCTTCTGGAACTACTTCCTGGGGGTGTTGTACCTGCTGCTAGCCAGCAGCCTGGCTCATCTACTCAACTCCATGTCACTCATCATTCGAGAAATTTGTTTTTTTGTGGACTACGGGACTATCAGTGCATATACAGTGGGTTCCTCATTGGCGTATTTCTACTACATCCATCCTCAAGCCGGCATACCTGAGAATGGACCTTGTGGACACAACTCTTCTGAAAGAAAGAGCCTGAATTCCGATGAACAGACTTGGCCATCTGAATCTTCTCCCACACAGGTCCAGCTGTTCTTTGAAAGCCTCTACATCCCATCCACCTGTCTGGTTGCCATCATTTGCGTCCTCACCTGCTGCAACACCAGACAGCGTTGGAGAAAATACCGATACGCCGTCCGCACCCTGGTCTTCCTCCTCCCTTTTTTCGTCTCCTCCACTCCTGTCTTCTACCGCCTTCTGAGTCTCTCTTCAAACTCGACATCGTCCTTCTCTCCTCATCTGTCCTCTACCATGGCTGCCTTTTTCTACCGCCACTGCTTTTGGCTGGTGGTATCTGCTGTTTTCAATATCAGTAAGATCCCAGAACGCGTTTCTCCAGGGAACTTTGATATCTGGGGTCACAGTCATCAGTGGTTCCACTGCTGCACCTTCCTGTCGATTCTGGATGAGCTGCACATGATCAAGGTGGAGATACGAGCCCTGCTTCTCAACCCAATGCTGTTACTTCCACCTTCTACACCACCCAGGCTCCCAGGGCCAACATTCTGGTCCACCTATGGCATCATGGTGCTCCTGCAGGGGTGCATAGCCAGCATCATAGCTTGGTTTGGCTGGCAGGCATATCAGATCTACGCCCCAGAGCAAAAAAAGCTGAAGTGTTGTTAGGAGGCCAAGCTTTTGCTTTTTTTGAACATTGTTATGATAATGTAGACTTCTGCAGTATGAACTCAATCATTTTAAAGGGATAGGTCACCCAAAAATGAAAGCAAATGTTATATACTCGCCCTCATTTTTGTTCTCAAACTGATGGCTTTTTTTGTGTGAAACACAACATATTTGAACTGTTATTAATAGGACTAATTTCATCTTCTGAAACAGCCATTAAGGTAGAATGAAATTGATCCAGTGTGTGACCACATGGGTGGTTATGTTCAGTTTGTAAGACAAACAGATCAAGTCTTAAATAGGGATGTCCCGATCAGGTTTTTTTGACAGACAGTCAGAGACATTTGATTTTGAGCATCTACCAATACCGAAACCTGATCCGAAACTAAATACATAAAATGAAATAGGTCCGAGTGTTCCTCATTTTTGATTTAATTCACCTTTTGTTAACATTCAACAACTCTGTGAACAATCAGAGCACTTCTGTGAGGTAGCTTGAACAATCAAGTAATGAATAACATAAATTCTTCACTTTTGGACTTTAGTGCAACAGTAAATGTAAAAAATTCTAATATAAAAACAAATAGCACCTCAACTTAAAATACCAAGCGGGCAATCCCAGGTTTACATATCTCAAGTTCACTTATTAAGTTTGCTCTGGCAGTGTTGCCGTGATCAACTTTATAATACCTCCAGACCGCAGATATACTCGCACTTTCTGCTTCAAGCTGCTTCCGTGTTCTACTTTGCCGGAAGTATATTTATATTCGAGTCCTGATCGGGAAGTAACGTCCGATTCCTATCAAGTCTGAAATCACGTAATCTGCCGTAATTTCCAATCTTATCAGATCTGGACATCCCTAGTTTCAAAGCCATTATTCTATCTAAAGTGAACAAACCAAAAAAAAAAAAAAAAAAAACTGTGATAAGATCATAAAATGTTCTTTAAAATGTCTTATTTTGCATTCTGCAGAGGAAAGAAGGGTTAGAAACAAAATAAGTTTGAGAAAGTGACAACTTAGATTAACTCACTTTTAGTATGTTATGGTCACAGATAAGAGAAGTGCTCGAGAGGCATTACTTGATGAAAATTGTGAATGTTTTAGCAAGTTTTATTGTAAGGATTGTGGAGGGAGTCTGTTGTTTTTGTGTGGGGTGGTCAAAGTCCTAGCTGGGCTGTAATCAGCAAGCCGACTCGGCCCCGTTTGCTCCCCAGGGACTGTATTGTTGAACTTATTTTCGGTTCCAGAATGTTCTCAAGAGAAATCTTAAAAAGATGCATTATTGAGCTTTTACTAGGGCACCTAGTATTGGATCACTCTTCATTATTGGCATTCTCTTTCTCGTAGCTATCATTGTCTCGCTTTTTCTCTCATCTGCCGCTCACATTTCCTCCCTCGTTTTAACAAACCCTTTAAACAGGAAGTGAAGTGCAGACGAACACAAATAGCTTCAGCCAAAGTGTTTGAGGCAAAGGGAAATGAGAGGGGTGGGGTTTCGAGCTGCTTTACCACACCGCAATGCTAAACAACAAAGCACTTCACAGATTAGTATATTTTCACGCTATCCTATCATTAATATCAGCTGTAGACTTTAAAAAATGCGGCAACATAGGTAGTAATTGTGTTCTAATCTACTGTAACTATGCATTGCTTTGATTGTATACACTTTTCTATGACTTGACATTTGAGTAAAGGTCTTGGTGGGGGAACTGAAAGCAAAACGAAGCCATATCATTGTTGAAGAACATATCAGCAAGTACTGTTTTTAAGGCCAGTTTTAAAGACACAGGTTAACTGTAGTCATGGGCTACACAAAATTGTCTATGGTGAATCTTCATTATTAATGTTTTAGTTCAGGTGCAGGTCTAGAAAGTGCTACTAGCTGCTGGCTGTATTCAAATGTTGTATTGTTTACAGCCTTGACTTGTCACAGGTTTTTCTACTGGCTGGTTGAATTTCGTTCAGCCAATGAGATGCTTTCAGTAAGCGGTGCTCCTGCAAGAGAGTGTTTTAAGTGCTTTAGTGAAACTCTTGTTGACAAAACATAAAGATTATTTAGTCTAAGAGTATGGTGTAGTTGAACAACATTTGTGAATTCCTGTGTGAACTTGATCCTCTGTTGATGTGAATGACAAATCGAGGTGATTAGTAAATCAGATGTTGTGGATGTCTAAAAAGATGTTATGTCTGTGTTGTTCTGTCCTCATGTTTCAAAGTCAGGCAGGCCGAATAGTTGCAATAGGTGCAAGGACACGTTCTAGCATTTTTGAAAAATATGTATTTCGTGGTTCACAGGGATTCATTCATTATTCGATAATAATCTTTGCGTTTTAAAGCCTCATACTCTTTGTATCATATGATGACATAAAGCATTTGTTACATTGCACTGTGTTGCACAACAGTAGTGTTAAAATCTAGAAAGATTATATAATTTGCACAATTTACATAACATTTGATAGGGACCCAATGTACATTGTTATCCTGTTTTCTGTCAAGTTGTCCTATTTTGTCAGGTTGTCCTACCTCCCATTCAAAAAGCAGGTAGCACATTTTGATGACGCAATATGCTACCCATCAGATTTTGCTATCAGTGTAAATGTTAATGTGATATGAAGCTGTAATATCGCCCTAACTTACCTAATCCCTAACCCCAACCTCAGGACCATCGAAATACAGTGTTGGTAGCATAATCTGATGGGTAGGATTAAATGTCAGGAGACCAGCTGTCCACAATATTGCACAGGTCTTTAAAAAAATGGAAAGGTTGCAGCAATTTTGATAGCATTGTTGGACTGACCATATCATTTAAGTATCATCGTGCAGGCCTAACAACTTCAGCTGTCAACTGCTATCATATTGCTGTCATTATGTTAACACCTCAAACTTATAATAATATATAGTTCAAGTCAGAGTTATTACACTGCAAAAAATGCTTTTCTTGTTTAGATTTTTTGTCTTGTTTCTAGTCTAAATATCTTAAATTTCTCGTAACAAGAAGAATTTTCTTGACGAGCAAAACATATTGTCTTGTTTTGAGAACTAATATGCCAATATTAAGTGAGTTTTTCCTTAAAACAAGCAAAATAATCTGCCAATGGGGTAAGCAAATTAATCTTGTTTTTTCTTTTGACGTAAGATTATTTTGCTTACCCCATTTTGTTTATCAAAACAAGACAATATGTTGTGCTTGTGTAGAAAATTCTTCTTGATTTAGGAATTTTTAGATATTTGGACTAGAAACAAGAAAAAAAATCTAAGTAAGAAAAGCATTTTTTGCAGTGTAGCCCCCCTGAATTATTAGCCCACATGTTTATTCTTTCCCCAATTTCTGTTGAACGGAGAGAAGATTTCTTCAACATTTAAGATTTTTTCAACAAATTTCTAAACAATAGTTTTAATAACTCATTTCTTATTACTTATTTATTTTATCTTTGCCATGAAAACAGTTAATAATATTTGACTAGATATTTTTCAAGATACTTCTATACAGCTTAAAGTGACATTTAAAGGCTCAACTAGGTTAATTAGGTTAACTAGGCAGGTTAGGGTAATTAGGTTATTAGATAACACTAGTTTGTTATGTAGACTATTGAAAAAATATAGCTTAAAGCTTAAATTTTGTCCTTAAAATGTTTTTTAAAAAAATTAAAAACTGCTTTTATTCTAGCCGAAATATAACAAATAAGACTTTTTCTAGAAGAAAAAATATTATCAGATATACTGTAAAAAAATTTCCTTGTTCTGTTAAACAGCATTTGGGAAATATAAAAAAAAGAGAAACAAATTCAAAGGGGGGATAATAATTCTGACTTCAACTGTATATCCATAGTTATACTTTACAATCGAAATGTACAGTTTACTAGCTCAGTCTCACAGAAACATAACCATTTTACATTTTGATGAATTAGTGACTAAATTGTAAGAATTCATTAAAGACAAAACAGCAGTTTTAGAAATTATTAAAAATGAATCATTAATGTAAAACAGTTATTTATTAAGTTGCTGTGAGATTGTGTTGGACTAGACCAGGGGTATCCAAACTCGGTCCTGGGGGGCCGGTGTTTTGCATAGTTTAGCTCCAACTTTCTTCAACACACCTGACTGGAAGTTTCAAGTATACCTAGAAAGAGCTTGATTAACTGGTTCAAGTGTGTCTAATAAGGGTTGGAACTAAGATATGCAGAACACCGGCCCTCCAGATCAACTTTGGGCCTATATATTCACTCTGAGGAAAATACCAAAATATAAATATTTAAATGTTATATGTTTGAAACTGGTTGAATAGAGATTCTAGTTCTAGAAGAGTTTGTCTAGAACAGTTGTAGTTCTCAGGGGAGAAGACCGATCTAATGCACTGGAAACTATGCTGTATGCCCACTGCTGTAGTGTGAGTTAATAATCATGGTTTACTTTAGTAGATCATGTTTAAATATCTTATTTGTAATGAGATATTGTCTTGAACATAGATTTTAGGAGATGACTTATTGTTCTGCTTCGATTCCACATCAAACTGTATCAAAGATGAAAATAAAGATCAATAAATATAAATGGTGAATCAGCTCTGCCTCTTTTGTTATACAAGATGTACATGTATGCTGTTTTTTTTTAAGTGATTTTTTTATGTAGTAAATGTAAGTACTGTATAAATCACAAATAGAAAAGTGCTTTGAGTTAAACATTAAGCTGAGAAATCCTTTAGTAGAAGGTCGTCCTCCACGTTTGCAGGTCTGCAGGTGTGAATTTGCCTGTATTTGCATTTACATATCCGTGTGTATTTGTATGTGTGACTAATGCTGAGTAACAGGAGCAGCTGGGACTCTTATGTCATAGAACACCCCGCCCCCACCGCCCCTTTCCCTACTGTATGTCTGACCAGATTTGTGCTTTATATAATGAATCAGCAAGGCACTAAACACATGAATGTGTCCTGGATATGCAGCAGTGACCTCACACTGTCAGAGAGAGTTGTGCAGATACCTTGAGTGTGGCAGGGAAGTGAAGTGAGGGATACGTTTTCCATTGCTTTCTTGCTTGGCTGATTTCCAGCACACTGCAGACATTAACCACAGCACCTCATACTAGACATCTCCACTTGATGGAGACATACAGCGCTTTGTGTGCCTTTGGCCTTGGAACACTTCGTTCAAAGGAGAAATCCTCTGTGGTTCTCTGCACCTTGTTGTCAAAGCATACATGTCAGGACATGATGGTTACTATACTACGTTGAGTAGTTTAAACGACAAACAAACATTGATGATGAGTAAAATGTTTTAAGGATGCAATTAGTAGATAAAAAGTATTAGTTATTATTAGTATTAGCAATTAGTATTATGTAATTCTTTGCTGTATATATTTTTCTTTTTCTCCGACAATTTGATGTGCAAGGAGGCACGAAGGTGTTCAGTGATAAGAAAAATACTCAGTTTAGTTAATCTTTATTTCTATATCACTTTTTACAATGTCAATTGTATCAAATCAGCTTATAGGTGAAAAGAAAAAATTAAATAAAAGCCACAACTTTTCAGATTGTGGAAAATTCTAGCAAATCAGGCAGACATGAGCAACATAGACTCATTCTGAAAACATAGCTCAATATACATTTCTGGAGATCGTGAATTATGTAGCCAAGAAGTGTTTATGGCTGCATTTGGCCTTTAAAACGAACGCTACAGGGTGGTATGACACCGTTCCTTTTCCTGCTTACTAGCTGAATGCTTACCTCTGTTTGGATGAGGTTATCCAGTGGCTTGCCGCGTACATCAGCAGACTTGTGTCTTGGAGCGGAGTTGACCGAGAAGATGGGGTTCAGCGAATAACGGTTCCAGAAAGTGGGTAAGACAAAAACAGAATCCAAAAAATTAAATAAACAGGTAAATAATGGGGTGAGAATGTGGTAAAGTCTAAAAACGTGGTACAAATCAG